TGCCAAGAATTTGTGCGCCTCTGACTCATCTCTGGCTAGAGAAGGGTAATTAAGATAAGGACTCTGCTCCAGGGTTACCAAACATTTCTGGACAAGTCCTGCTGTTTTTCTGTTCCTCTGCCAGAATTGAAAAGCTTAGACATGTCCACCAGGTACCTGGGTATAAAGGTAGACACAGGTAGTACCCACAGAACCTTCCAGCTGCCAGCAGAGAGGTTTCCCTCCCCATATGCACAGTCATCCCAGGACACAAACCCAAACAGCTGCTGTTTTAACTACCCATCAAGAGACACACTAAACTATCATCTTGGTTGATTTTAGCAAATATTTGCCTTAGATAAGACAAAACTGAAGAAAGGTGAGAGCCTTGTGTAATCTAAATCACATTTACTCCTATGCACAGAGTACATAAAAAAATCTTTTATATTGTGCACTGCAGCCTATGGAGATATATGTATATAGTAAATATCCCCATTCTAGAAGTAGCTAAAGAAGGGGTGTAATGAGCCATATAGGAAACACATTGAGAAGATGAATCCAAGTGCTCAGTCAGCTCTAAGAGCTCCTAGCTTGAGTCTGCTTTCCTATGGCAGATCACAGCAGCCAATATCAGCAAACTGAAGCAGACCCATTGGCAAAGAAAATGGCAGTTTGAGTTACAAGATTAGGCCCGTGGCACTTCAAGTAATGGCTGGCATAGTACTTCAGTCACAAGAGAGAGGCTGATGGGGATATCGCGCAGGGGCATTTCTTCTCAGCTGGTGTTATTCACATTATGTAGAGGCAACATCCTGATGCACACCAAAACCTTTGGAGAATAAAAAGTTTAAAAAGGGTGTGACACAAGGTTAAGACTTCCTGTCTGAGATGGAGCCCAAGGTCAGAAGCACTGCATCAAAATTAGGCAGTCTGGATGTGCCATGCAGCTTGAGAGGAATTTTTTGTAGTATGAGACACAACAGGATTTGCACAGAGCTGGTCAGGCCCCAGATTCCCTTAGCTACATGGTTCCAAAGCTCTGTTCTTAGCTTGTGCGCAATCTTGCAGTTAGCCACCCACTGCATAGTTTAGATGAGGAAAGGAAAACGGCTTCCAACACCCTCAGCTGTGGCTTATGCAATACTTAACATTATTGTTGCTCAAAGGCTCTCATAGAAGTTTATGCTTGACTCTCCTTAGTTCCAAAAGTCCTGTTGTTCCTGAGAGATAAGTGCTGAGAGGTAGCACTTACATCTTCAAGACTGTGTAGATTCAAGTCCAGAAAGGACTTGCTTAAAGAGCAGGTTGTTGCAGCAAATTCCTACACTCCACCAGACATTTTCAGTTGTCCAATGGCAATTTTTTAAAAATCTGTTCCAACTTTAGGTGGATGGGAAAGAATTTGTGATTGAGACTTAGACATCTGTTTTTCTGATAGCTGTGTAAATTGAGGAACCCTACAGACTAAATGGCTGTGATGCCATTTCAGAATTTAGATCTGATAATATTGATTCCTTACCCATGTATGTAGGCAGGGGGACAGTGAAGGACATTGTGTGAAATAGTACTGCTGAAAGGTTGTGTATAACTGGTGAGGAAGTCCTACCAGCATGTAATTTGTAATAATCAATGCATGCGAAGGGAAAAAGACTTCAGGCTAACCCTGAAGAGTGACATGTGGATGCAATAAGTGTGGTCCTAATGTCAGAATTGAATGCAGGTGAGAACCCAGTTGGCAAACATGGTTATGACAGATTGCTCCAGAGAAAGACATGTGATTGCAGAAAAGGAGATTGGATTATAAAGACAGAAAATTGCATGGAGGAGGAGAAGGCCAGCAGAGAATCTCAGCTGTTTGTACTGAAGATATGAAGTACTGAGGCTGCAGGAGCTCTTTCCTCCACAAGACTCAGCAAAAGCTGAGTTTCTGAAACCCCCACTGGTGGTGAAATCTCCTGGGCCCTCCTCTAATTCTCTAACTACACTTGATTACAATGCTGAACTGCAGAACTAGAAAAAGATAATAATGAACTTCAGTGGATTTTGTCATTGAATAGGCCTGCCCCACTAAGTATCCAACAGCCCCTTCTACAGTTTGGCTGCCTGGGCTCATGGTCAGCTCAGATACAGCTGTGTGGCTGTGGCTGGGACAAGAGCTATGAGAAACCTCATCATAGCCTCCTCCCTTGACCAAGCAGTCACAAAATCCTTCCCTCAGCTAAATTATGATTATGGCTACACTTGACCAGTACCTTGCTCACCCAGGCTCCTTTCTGCCTTCCTAACTTGACCTTGGACCTGCCTTATCTCTACAGACTTGCCTGATGATCACTGGACTGGCCCCAGTTACTGTCACCTGACCTGCTCTGCTTACCTTGACTTGGGACTGTATCCAGGAGGCCACTGCCCTACAGTCACCTTTTGCTCCAGTTCATCTTCCCTTACAGAGCAGCTCCAGTCAAAGAAGTTCTCCTTTACAGTGCACCTGCTTAGAAGTTTCTCTTAGCTCTAAATAAGGCCTGTAAGACCTGTAGCAAAAGTGAATAACCAGATGCAATTGCAGGAAGATCACCCAAAGCAAAAATTCCAGACTGCTGCAGAAATAGTAAGCTCTTTGTACAATGAGCAGTTCTCCAACTACTGTCTCAGGGCCCCATTGGAGAACATGATGGTGTACAACATTCACATCCACGAGAGCTGGTTCTGTTAACACTGGCTGCAATCTGTGACAGGTACCCCATTCATGCTTTTTTAAAAACAAATTCAAAACTTGTGATTTTTGAAGCATGATCTGGGGAGAAAATAATAAAATTCAGAGCAAATTTTGCAGGCATGAAGTGTACAGACTTTGGTTATATTTAGTAAAGCGATTATGGTTCTGTTCCACTCTGTGTCGGAGTGCTATCAGTTGATCCTGCCTCTTTTCATTCCACTCAGATTTGTTCATTGTTAAATTAATGAGGACTTAACAGCAAGTAAATCACATGCCATTTAATAAGATTTCAGATGAAGCAGCAAAGAGGCACAAAGCATGCTGAAGTCAACTTGAAAACGCTACAGCTTTGTTCACCCTTAGTTACAATCATTTTCTTTCCCTGCCAAAGCAAACTGCAGTGTCCATTATGCCCAAGCATGAAGACAAAGCTTGTTAATCCTTGTTAAAAGATTCTGATGTTTGTTATTGTCATGTTCCCTCCAGATTATTTTCAAGAGCTTAGTCTGTTTAAGCCTGATAGCAATATGCCTAGAAACTTTTCATGTTACATGTAATTAAGCTCTTGTTAAGCCTAGCTTTAGTAGGACATCTTCTCCTTTTACTTCCATGTCAGAAGGATTAAGAATGTCAAAATTTCACTAGAAATAGCAGATTAATCAAATTATATGAGCTGCACGATAGAGGAAAGTCTTTCCTCTTCGCCCTTAATCTGCATAGCCTTGGAAGTCCACTAAAAGTTTTATCAAGGTATGCTACGGACTTTCAGAGCACCACTTGCATTTACTATTTCAGCATGTGCCATCTGAATATAATGTAATACATGGTGATTTCCTCACCTGAGCACATTCAGAGCTAAAGGCCACATATGATTTGCACTGTCACAGTAGAACTTGTACACCCAACCCCTACCAACACATCAAACAATGAAAAACTCAAGTTGCTCAGCCTAAAGCATCTGCTGGTGTCTTTGCTCTGCATGGTGCTGACTCTGCCAGTTTTCATTTAAGATGTTCCTTCTCTGCTAGGAGATTTCTCTGCTTAGAAAACTGCTATTTTATTTTCCTCTTCTAACCCAGTACTTTGTGCTCCTGCCATGTTCTGCAGAGGCTGCAGCTGCTGGCAGAAATTGCGATGCATGTAGATTTCTGTTGCTGATGAGGCCACCTTGAACATTAGGGTAACCTTGTCATTGTGACAGGTGAGTAAATTCAGCCAGAAAATCTGAATCTTTTAAGACATAATGCTACTTTGCAGAACATTACAGGAGGTAGAAGTATTTGTTTCAGTTTGAGACACTCCAGATTTGGGGAAGAGTGAAAAATAGCTTGAAAAACAAAACACTGTAAGAGACCTTTTGTTAAAGCAAGTGAAAAAGCAATTCATCTTGCATGCTATTATTTCTAACAAATTTAATTGACAGTCTGTTCACTGTTCTCCTAGTTTATCACAAAACACAGCACTACAGCATTCTGAATGAAATATATGGCTCAAGATAGCCTATCTATGCATTGTTCAGCCTCTGCATCTGTTGGAAGGGTGAAGGATTTCTTGCATGTACCTGCATTAGAAAAAGAATCTTTTTTCAAAGGAAATTACGAAATTTAAGTACTTGTAGTACATAGTCCTTCATCCATACAGCTACATTTCTTAAAACAGAGAAACGTGAAATTATGGTTTTGTGGCAGAAAAAACCACAAGTATAATCTAGGATTCAAATACACAACCTGGGAATCAAAACCATGTTGTTCTGGCTTTCACACTGACAGCAGATGAAAACAGCTTGGAAAGATCCTTGTTCATGCACCTTTGTCTCACTGAATGATGTGGCAGGGACAAAGGCACAGCATCACAAGTGAATTTAAACCATCTGTTAAATGTCACCATGCACAAAACATGTTACTGCATAAGCTCCATATCCAACCATTTAGATTCATATTCTAGTTAGGATATTAAATAAAGAGTTGAAAAACCTCAAGCTAACAGAACAGACATATTAGCCTTAATAAAAATGGTATGCAATTAATTCTTTGGTTCAGAGAAAAGCCAGAAGGGGCTTAGCAGACAAGTACTATGTGCCAAGACCTGCACTAAACTGAGTTTTCACAAAAACATTTCAAAAGCCCTATGGAGAACCCAGAGCTGGACTAGCCGATCAGGACTGAGGTACCTAGTGAAGAAAAATAAACTTCTTGTTGTATTGGGAAAAATTCTGAAATCCCCATAGCAAGGTAATGCCACTGCTATTCTAAATACCTGCTTGAAAATATTTGGAGCACAAACCCAAGAACTCAAGGCCTGAAGACAATGGCTTTTATAACAGTTTTATTCAAGTCTGTGTGCTCTAGTGTTGAGACAAGGCCTAGATCAGCATTACACTGTAATACAATAATTTTAGCCATTGAACCAAGCCTGCTTGGCATCCTTGGTTTACAATTTACAGTACATCCAAAAAAAGAGCAAAGAGAAAAGAAATCCCAAAACATCAACAACTTCCATTAGCTCTTTGCTTCACTTAAATATTGTTCTATAACATAAAATAATTTAATACAAAAAGAACTGTAATCCAAATACACATAATACATTGACACAGAACAGAGGAAAGATACAGTAGATTATGCACGAGAGTATTCAGTTGATGTGTTACCTACAGTGAAACAAACTGGACATTAATATAATTTAACTATTTAAGCCCAAGAGGGTCAGAGGCAACAAGTCCAGGTCACAAATAAAGCTTTTTAAAAATGCAATCTTCTTTTCCTCTAAGCTTACTGCTTTACAGAAGTTAAAGGAAGGCTCCAACAAATCACTTAATATGACAACATTTCATCACACAAACAAGAAAAACTTGGTGGCCTCTGTCATTTTACTCAATTCTGGGGTACACTGTCATTTGGTAATGTAACTGCTTCATTGCAGGTTCTTCGGGCAAAACATACCTTCAGGTGCTACTTCCATAGCAACAACTTTTGAACACCATAAACAGAAGAGAAGACATACAGAGGTCTCCAAAACCAGACTGAAATACTCAAGCTGTAAGATGAATCCCAGTCCTACAGAGTCTGGAGTTCCTTATGAAGCACCCAACACCCTCTACACAGTGATTTCAGCACAAGCAGGAACTATTCCATATCTCAAAGGATCAGACATGGGGGCATGATCTTACACTAGAGAAATCTACTCACCTGGTTATTCAGATTCACAACACTGTACCTAGGAAAGTCAGGTCACCAATTTTTGCATCTGGCTTGAAATAGAAGCAGGAGCAGATTCACAATTAATAAGGCAAAAGAAAGAAGTAGCTTATAAAAAGAAGGAGGAAATACATTCTCTGGCTGAGAAATTCTTGGACTTTCAAAGCCACAGAAAAGACATTGTTAAAAGCACAGGTATTTTCCCTGATTTTTCCACCACTGTTGCCTGCTCACTCCATATAAGTCTCTCAACTTAAGTTAGGCAAAATATCTCAGATATTTCCAGCTTGTCCTGAATTTATGACAAAGAAATCAAATATAGCAGCACAGCGTGCTGTGCCAACAGCTGATAGACAAGAATCCTAGAACTCTAGTAAAAATGGCGGATGTTGATCACCGCTGAGCTTGTCAGGTCTGTCCACCAGCCTGGAGGGATGCATTTGCAAAATGAGAAGAAACACTTGAGAATAGGCCTCAGGTTAAACTGCCATTTGCACACACAGTCTCTAGTCACCACTTACTGCCCCTTTACAGCTAGCAATCTGCTAATGCAGAAGCTCTTTACCCCATGTCAGAAAACATTCTCAAAGCTTACCCTGGTTATGGTTAGAAGTAGCAGTCAAATAGGCATGGCATATGAAGCCATGGAAAGGCCACAAGAGTCAGCAATCGAACAGCATTTACCCAGGGGCTTGTTGAGGAACTTGTTCCTCAGGTTAATTGACCTCTTACTCTGACAATCAAGGTAAGAACCCGGTCCTTTACCATCAGTTTCTACACAACAATCCCCCAATTCAGATTAAAAGAGCTTTGCTCAGCTGGGGTCTTGTGCATTTTGACCCACAAATACATTCCACTGATTTCAGTGATATTTAAGTATGTGATGAAGAGCTTTCTGAATTGAGGCTTCTTCCCTTTTAACTTGAAAGTTAATTACCCTAAATGCAAACTTTTATTACTAGCTGCTCTTGGGTTTATGCAGTATCTTCTTATAACTGCCAAACGTAATGGGCACGGGTGCCCATGGACTTTATGTGAATCTAGGTAAATTCTGCAGTTCAAACCAAACCATTCCCCAGAGAGATATATGTTGCAAAAGAATGGATCCTACTCTCTGCCAAGAGCACTGGCCAAATTCAACCAGTTCAGCTGGCAAACACTCCTGAATATTCTTTCTTTTAAACCTATTATTTTTTTCTTGTGGCTATATTCTTTACAGTCTGGATATTATAGTTGTCAAGATAACCTTGAAAATAGAGCAATGGCAGAACTGATGGAGTAACAACTGCTTGAGATGCAGTGTGAAAAGTCAGATCAGAGATATTAGCTGCTCTGCTCAGATACAAATGCTAACCCTGTTGACATTGTAAGAGCTGCTCACTAAAGATGCAAGACAGAAGAACAAGCCTACTATGAGTATCTGGGCAGTAAGTTGAGGGTGACAATTGATTCTGTGACATTGACTGAGCCTGGGAGAAAACAAATTACCCCAGATGAGAAGTGGCCACATTCACAAATTCCAGCAGAATTCAAGGAAGAAGCTCTGTTCACCTCCAGATATAGTCAGACTCAAGGAGCTCAGTATGCAACTGAGCTATGCCAAACAGTAATCAGAGGCCAGGTTTGTTGGTTTGTTCTGTAACTTAACTGCTGTTGAAGGCATTCTTATTAATGAAGCTTGGAACAACACCAGCATGTCCTGCTGCACCACTATAACCTCTCCAGCTAAGATCACAAGACACAAAAGATCAGGACATGGCTACAGCCATGTTTCTTCTCTCTCAGAACTATATGACTCTCCAAGAGCAGAAGGCCAGTTTTATCCAACCTCAACATCTGTTCTTGAAAAAATGCTGAATTGAAACAATCAAGATAGAATGGGAGACAGTGTTATCAGTCTGAACTAGCATATATAAAATTAATTATTCTTGTCTTAATGTTGAGGTTTCAGCCATACTGAACACAATGTAGATTCTCACTAGCTATCCTGGCAACTTAAAGTTTGAGCATGGACAACATCTGATAGATGTATTTCTGATTAATTAAGGCCCTCCCCCCTGCCACCCTCCATGCTTATTTTTCAAATTGCTTATTTTAAGCAAATACTACTTTGGCATTGCTCCTGCAGATTTGTTCTAAGCCCCCTTTTCCTAGCTGTGCATCCATCTGACCCATCAACAACAGACCTAACAGTAGCCCACTTCATGCTGGGTTAATAAATCCACCATATTGCACACTAAAAATGTGTCATAGTTCCTTAATATTAGTTCTGTTGGGCTGTCTGCACATTATTAGCATTCAGATACAGTAAGGACTGCATTAGGAGCTGATACACTAGGAAAACAATACTGCAAATACAAGGATCATGCACAGCTCCACTTTAAGAGCACATTAAATTATTAAAAAAAAAAAAAAAAACAAAAAAACCAACAAACTGCTTTGAAAAAAGAGACTATCACTTCTAAAAGCAGTAGTGACCAATATGAAATCTCCACCTTTTTGACTCTGGACAATCAACCCTTCCACAAGTTAGAAACTATCAAGAAAATGCCCCACTTTGTCCTTTATTGTTTATTTTGGAAACATAAATAAAGTATAAAGCAAGTATAATCTTAATAGCTGGTTTTACTTTTGCATCAGGAATTTGCATGTCAAAGAGCCAAATACAAGTTTGCCTCTGCCTTCCCATCTCATTGCAACCTTAAATACTTAGAGCAATTCTTACCAAAACTTAGACTTTCTGCCCATTCTATCTCTACAGATGAGGTAGTTCAGGGTAAAACAAAACAAACCAACCAGAAACTGGGTAAGTTGGATGGGGCTTTGAGTAACCTGGAAAGCGTCCCTGTCCATAGCAGGGGCACTGGAACTACATGACATTTAAGGTGCCTTCCAACCCAAATCATTCTATCAAATTAAGTAACTGTACATTCCTCAAATTCTTCTTTAGGATCCAACGTAACTATGATGCCAACAGTTTACCAGGTAGCTAGAATTCCTCTGTCCTCTGACTTACATTAAGAAGATAATTTCACTGTGTTATTTCCTGCCAACCTCCACTTCCCTCAGTTGTATCCTATGCTTGTAGCATGGAAATCTTTTAGGTCAAAGCACATCTGAAATGTGTATGATTTTCTGCCTCGCACTTGTTACTATGGCAACAAGAATAAATAACCAATAAAGATGGGATGGGGCCAAAACCCCAGTGGAGAAATAGGGAGAGGCAGTGATAGTACATGGCTCAGCACAGGAGGGTAAATGGGATGACACAAAAGGTTTCCAATGATGGTATTTGGCCTGAAAATACTGAAAGCTACAACTAGGAGGTCACTCCAAAAAACCAACCCAGGCCCCAGTAAGGAGATATGTGAGATGGAAGGCACCTTGGCATACAAGGATGCACCTAACACACATATATAATTGAGAGGCTTAAAAAGCAAACCCAAAATAAACAATTTCCCCAAACAGAAAACTAACAAAGAAAACCACAGAGCTCGAGAAGCCATTCTCACTAGGAAAATTATGTTCCTGATTGGAAAAAGGAAGATTTTTCACTATGTACAAAAGGAGCTAAAATGCATTTCTCTAAATGTTCTCAAAATAGCCAAAATGTTGAGGAAGTGCTGAAGAATTTCCAGTTACAAAAAATGGGAGGTCCTTGTTAGAAAGGAACAATAATAATTCCAGTATCTACATCAGACCCACTACCCAGTCACCAGTGGCAAGCTATTTGTTAATCAAGCACACACTTCCTAGCCTGGGAGTGACTACTTCCAACATAAAAAAAAAGTTTACGTAGGGAATTTCAGAAGTCGTGTTCATCTCTGACCAGTGGCAAAACTATTTAAAAAAAGCCAAGCATGGGAAAAACCAAAAGCAAATGCACATTTTAACTGCAGCATGACTTTCTACTAATGCATTCAATAGAAGGAGCACCAGAATAAGCCACAGATTCATGTCCATAATGCCTAATGAAACTGTGAAATTGAGATTAACAACAATAAGTATTTCTTAAGACTATATTGATTGTTAAACACCAAAAAAAGACACAAAAACATTTAAACCAAAACCTGGATTGAAAATAAGAGGGGAAAAAAAATCAGATTTGGTTAAAGATCCTTTCTGTCCAGCTAGCTACCATATTAGCTGGCTGTGCAAACCACTGTATTCTACTATCAAAACAGTAAAATTAAGAAAAAACATAAGAAGGCATTTTTCCCTATAGATACCTTAATTATATCATCAACCAAAGATTCATGAAGTCTGAATGTTATGCTCTTTAACAGTGTATTTTAGTTATTGTATTTGCTGTATTTATTGCTTGTTTGCAAATATGTTTTAACACATGTCTATCCCCTCACTTTTAATGTCCAGTTTTACCCAAATTGTAGTCTTAAATAAGTTCTAAACATGGAAGCTAAGAAACTGTTGTTCAGTGACAGGGTAAGGATCACAAATCTTTTCAAATGTAAATGTCCTTTTTCATACCAAAAAAAAAAAAAAAAAGTTGAAAAGAACTTAAATCACGCATAGGGTTGGTAAGAGTTCTTGAGAGTATCTCCAAAGTGCATGTAAAAGGTTAGAAAGCAAGAAGCACGTTTTCCAAGGAGAAACATTTCAAAAACCAAAAAGAAACAAACCTATTTACATTAGCTTAAAATTACTTGCAAAAATAACAGGCTATCACTGAATTTTGGGATGTAGGAGAAGTTTTGATTCCATACATCCAATGAGACTCCAGGTCCCATATTCATCCCACAGGGATGAATTAGGTTTTAAATAAAAATTAATCTCAAGATAGAAAGGTGACTCAAGGTCGGAGGTTTCCTACATGTTTTATTGAACAAAACACTCCAAAGGCAAAGACCTTTCTTTACTTGACCATTACTGCCTCACCTTCAACAAGATGAGAGGTATCCAGTTTTGTGAGTTATTGAAGTTACATCTCTATGCAGTATTGTCCACAATGTCTCAAGATAACAGCATGCTATGAAGAGGAAGGCAACTACTCCCATTCCTAGAGGTACAGAAAAATATTTCATCATAAAACCATGCCAAACCAGAACAGGTCTTTCCCCATCAATAACAAAAATTCACTTTAAAATACTCATTTTGTTAGAAAACTACTACAAAAAGAGTATTTTCACCAAAGTTCCCTGCCTCATACTAAATATCAATGCATTGCAGTAATAAACTGGAGGGAAAATATGTATAAAAAGGTACATTTGCACCTCTAAAACTGATTGAGAGGAGATTAAGACACACAGTATTAGAAAAGAATCCGTAATTATTTAATCACCTTAGTTTTGACACAAAAGCTTTTTTCTCTCTACTTGTCCCATACTCAATTTATATGAAGCCAGTAGAGATTAATCCAAAAAATTGTCCTTTTTTGCAGTGGTTGCTATGTCTGTGCCTTCCTCCCAGTATCCATATTATATTCCAATTACAGGAAAACTGTTTATGCTACAAGGATAGCATACTTTGAAGGCCTGACACACTTCTTTCTATTTCATTTCCTAAATCAGCACATCAATTACATAAATTAGTGATACACACTGCCAGCTGACTAAACAAAAATACAAATATATTTTGAAACCACAAGTATTTCTCTCAGCTACAATCTCATTATTACTATCAGTTAAAAAACTGCCACTTCCTCTTTGTAAGGCTTGTATTCAAACATAGTTTTCTCCATTCTTTTGTCATTGTTTTAGACTGCTCAGTGACTTTCATGCTTTCTTTTTTTCATTTTCTCAGACAAAACAAAAATGCAACTTATTCAGACATTTAGGAAACAACCTAACATTTGTTATAATTTTTTTAAAGTAAGATTTTCACCATCTTCCTCAAGAATACTACTATAAAGGTAAGCCAATGACCAATATTCTGAGATTTTTGTTTCCCTGACAAATGGAACCACTAGCAACCAGCAGGAAAAAAATATTTCTGAGCTGACGGGCTCATACCTCTCACTGTCTAGTGGAATAAAGTCAACCCCTGCTTTGGAGATTTGGAGCACCTCAGCTCCCACAGCTGAGAAGAAAAAACCCCAATAGATTAAGAAAGCAGAGAATTCAAGCCAGGAGGGGACAGAGGATATAGAGAGAGGTTTTGACCTAGCTTAAACATGCACACAGCCTCTGGGCCTCAGGACACTGGCTGCAAAAGCTTTTGGAGTACATAAGGTAAAATACCTGACAAGTCTTGAGAGCCCCCTCCCTGCCTGCCTGAGAATACCCCACCACCTAGTGACATCAGCAGCCTTGTTTTCACAACTGACTCCTCTTGCCTGACACCTCAGGCTGGCCCCTTGAAGACAGTTACAGGTGCATGCTCAAAGACTTTCTCAGATAACTCACATGCTAGAGTCAATGATGATAATTGCATCAAAGAAAGGTTAAAAAAAACCCAAATAAAAACCACAAGACAAACACATACCAACCAGTATACTTCTAACTAGTCTGTCTGGCAGCTTTGTAATAACAGTATCTAGTTTGGTAACCCTGACCGGGATCCTTGACTCTTGTCATCCATCCTACCAAGCTTTTTGATGTAGCAATGTCCACTTGGCATTAGGGAAGATACTCTTTGGACCAAAGTACTTCTCAAAGTTCAGCTACATACCACCTTCACCAAGTGATTACATAACAGGGGGAGAAGGGCAACAGATTAATTCTTTGTTCTCAACTTTCCTTAGTACAAGAGGTGACTGAAAAACTTGCCTTTACATTTCTCTTTCCCGGGAACGTGACAGAAACCTTAAAAGTTCATTTGGTGAAATCAACTGGCCAGATATTACAAAGTTTAGCAGGCTGAGTTATATCAGTTATATAGTGTGACCTAGAAAGATGTCCTCCCATTTCATGCAAGTAAATGGATTTGAAAGATTTCTGTTCAAATGGAGCTATTCCAGGGGATGCCTTTGCAGAGCAGATGATACTCTCTATGACATTTATAATGATACCTTTTGGATAGAAAACATAACATTTCAGAACAGCTGATCCAGTTTTGTTCCAGGTGTTTTAAAATTATAAGGAAGACTATGAAAAATAAATTATTTTCATGTCCTTCTTTCAAATCCCTCTGACACCGCCTCTTACTGAGATTGCAATAAGGTTGATTTATAGCACAATCAAAATTAGTAAACTTTTGGATGAGTTTTGCCTTTTTGCTAGTGTCTGGGTCACAAACTGAGTTTTCAGAAATGGAAAGCAAAAGGATGCTTAAGAAATCAATAATGCCAAAGGTCTAAATTTAACAAAATAGTCAGAAATGTTTTCTTTACGTATCTGAATCCCATCTTGCCTTATCATAATACCTTGTCTAAACAGTCAACAGTCTCTCCAGCTTCAACATCTAGTGTAGCACCATTAAGGCTAGCTCTGGAGCATTTAACAGGCAGCAGAAAGTAACCCTGCTATTAAGCATTTTCCATGGAATGTGATAAGCAAGAAATACGTGACCTTTCAAAACAAAACATACTGTAATTCTGAGGAAAAAAAGGTGCTCTTGACTAATGGGAACATGCTAGTTTCAGTCCTCTCACAGAACTAAAAAGCCTTACATACAGTTCTTCCTCAAACATGCTGGTTTTTAAAATCAGGTTACAAACATCTAAACACACAAGTTCACTGTGCTGACAGCTGCAGGAAGGATTCGGCTCTCCTGCCTTCACAGCAGGACTGGACTGCCCCAACAGGCTGAGCACTGCACTGGCAGCACTGTCAAATGACTTCTTTGCAACCAAATATCAGCGGATTAGCAGAACAAGCACAGATCTGTACAAAACCAGTGAACAGACATGCTGTACCCTGCAATAAAGCAGACTACCCTATTACACTCACATAAAGGCCACATCCCTTATATATAATGCCAAATTTGGGGAAGATTGAAGCTCTCATTACAGCCAGTAAGACATACCTGCAGTGGCACAGACACACTTGAAGTCTTTGTACAGAAAACTCTGAGCACAGGCACACCTTATCTGTGTGACTTCCTCTTTCCAGACAGGGGTCTGTTCTTGCTCCAGATCTAGGAGTGGTTTACATATTTGAACAAGAATAAAGGTCTACATATCTATAGTGCCTTTCACTCAAAGATCTCAAAGGACTTTACACCTATTATATATGTCCCAACCCCTCCCCTTGTGAGGTAGGTATTATTCCTATTATTTACAGATGGGGAAATTCAGGCACAGAGGTTACATTATTTGCCCAGGGTCACACAGTGAAGTCAGTGACAAAATAAAACAGAATCCAGATGTTCTGATTCCTTTTTGCACAATCCAACTACTAACAAGTCTCATTTTCAAAACAGCCTTAAACAAGTACCAATGGTACTTGTTTTTTCATTGGTCACTCCTGAAAGGTGTAAGAAAGGAGAAAAAAATAGAAAGAAAAATATTTGGAAACACATAATTTACTTCCTTCTGCAAGCCAACACATCTTTAAAGAAAGTTTCTGCTAACTCCCCTTTCAAAGCTGAGTCAACTTGACTATGAGCCTGAGAAACAGGGAGGGAAGAGAAGAGACTGATGGAACAAAAGTCTGGAAAAAAAACCAAACCCAAGCTAAACAGCTAAACTATAAGCCTTCATCTTGAAAGCACAGGGTCATAAAATAAATAGGGCTGAGAGGGACCTCAGGAGTTCACTGAAGTTCATCCAACCTACCCTGAAGCCAGGATCAACTACACCTACTTGTTTCCAACAGTCTGGTTCACCTGCTCTCAAAGACCTCCACCAGTGGAGACGCCATGCCCTTCCCCTGCCATCTGTTCCACCTTACACTATCACATGAGCAAAAGAGGACAAACAAGTCTTAAGATAGCTACTTCTGCTATTTCAGTGGGGGTATGATGATTCCCAGGCCTGTCTAATGATCTGAATGTATTTCAGAGAAGGTAGTCTCCAGATATTTATTTGTTTCTGTTCTGGATTCCTTGGGAAAACATCAAACACTGATGTCTGCTGTAGTGTAATATCTGACTATTATTTGAAAATACTGATTAATACCAGGATACCAAGATACTTACTGCCAGGTGCCAAATTCTACAAGGTCAGTAACAAAAGACTTTGATATGATACTTTTAGCTCATTGCAGATTCAAACTGCAATAAGAGGGCAGGGAAGACTACAGGAAAACCCCACAGCAAAAGTCAGCAGCTCAGAGTTGCCAAGTTTCACCCAAATGCAGACAAAAATCAGGCAGCTGACAACACATCTTCAGCCGAGGCAGCACCATATCATCTCTGTAGCATCCCTCCATCTCATCTGTTTTCAAAGTGCATTCTCAGTGCAAAAAGTAGAATTGAATTTAGAGGGGCTCACTGCCCCCAGTGGTTTCATATTAAGACCAGAATTCTTGCTTGAGTTCGTATGCTGCAGCTTTGTGTGTGTTAAGTTCACTTCTGCATAGCGGAATGGTGCTGTCCTGGCTCTGCCCCTCAGCATCCATGTCCAACAGTGTCCGCTCCTCTGCAGGAGGACCCACCTGGAAAGGAAGCAGTGCAGGCAGTCCAGGTCTCTCTTCTACAGTGCTGCTGCTACTAGCAAAACAAGAGTCCAGATTGCTTGGAGTATCAGTACTTGAACTGTTGGCAGAAGACTCACCCTTGGCATTGCTGGGTGACACAAACCACCAGGGATCGAGCCGCTGCCGACTGGCTGCAGGACGCGGCCGGGGTAGGAACTCCAGTGTCTTGGGTCTTTCCAGTGTGGGATCCTGCTGTGCATTCCATCGTCTCGGGGTTGGAGGAAAAACAAGGTTGGGGTCTGGCAGGCGAGGGACCTCACTGGGATCTCTGCTTGGGCTAGGTGTTTTTAATACACCTATCCAAAACAGACAATGTAAGAGAAGAGGGAAAAACATGTTAGCTGTTACTGCTAAGTGGTTCCTACAAATCTTAGTTTATTGTATATACAGTGGAAAAACATATTCAAAGCAGAAAGTCTTCATTCAGAATTTACAAACACTGTATCTTTAAGATTATGGCAATCTGAAGATGCTGGAACCAAAACCATCCCCGCATTATTCTGTTAGCTACTTGTGTAAGACAGCCTCCACAAGCAATTCTTGTGGGCTGGTCATCTCCACAAATGCATAAGCAACAAGTAATTATACTGCTTCTGTCTCTACTCTGAAGAGGAAAAGGAAGATGGCAGAAAACCTACCTGCTCCCAGTGCTCCAGTTAAACAGCTACTGGAAGGGCATCCACTGGTTGGGCACCCATTGACAACCAGTCCACCCCCTTTGATGGCTCCATCAGAAGGTGTGCGCCTGTGTCCACTTTGCTGGGTGTGGGAAGAGAGCGTCACGTGTGTGGGAGTCAGGGACTGGTTGGGGTCTTGTTTGAACCTCTCGATCTGGACATTGACCAGTGGGTTTGTAATAGCTGGCAAGGGAGCTTTGACTGTCACTGGGCTGACAGGCATCTCATAAACCACAATCTCATCACTGTCTGAGCGCAGCAGAGAGCGGGTGGAATTACATTCGGAAATGGAAGACAGGGAAAGAAGGGTGAGGGATGTGGATGGCTCGCCTAGCAACAACAGGGGATCATCCTTCCTGAAGATCTTCCGGGAAGGTGGACTAGTGCTCCTGCGCGGGCGTCCAGCTCGCTGAAAAATGCTGTCACGCTTCTTCTTCTCTTCCTTGGGCACCTCTGGCTCTTCCTCAATCACCAGCTGGCACTTCCCTGCTTCTAACAGATCAAAACCCAGGCCTGCAGCAGCCAGCACTGCTCCACAGCCAAGCAGTGCAACCTCGCATCGCTTGTGGTGGGAGCCGCTACGTTTGAGGCTGTTGGTGGGTGTCAGCTGTGGGGTACTGGTAGCAGAGTTTACAGGGGTGGACTCCTCATTGGCATCACTAGAAGGGCCATCCCATTCTTCATTCTTCTGAAATGGGATGCAGAGGTATGACTGATTGTGCACAGGTGAAGGGTGCACTTTGCCCTCTCCATTAAAACATTCACTGTCCTCATCATCTGGAAAGCAAATGAAAATACACTTTGCGTCAATGTAAAATTTTCACTGGCAAATTTCATTGTCTCAGAAATATACTTCAAAATAAGATTCTCCTCAGAAGATGCAACTGCTCTCCTCACAAACATCATTTATCAACTCCCAAAAAATCTTCTATTGTTTCCAAAGAAGACAGGCTGAGAGAAGTAACTGGAAACACTATCAAAGTGAAAGAAATCAGAGAAGCATTCATCCACTTGGGATTAATTGCAGAACAGCATTTCAAAGGCAACCTATACCTCAGTAACTTCTAGAGTAGATTTATGTGTTTGTGAATGAGAAGCAAAAGGTAGAAAAATTTTAAGGATTTCTCCTTGCAAGTGAAGGTGTAAGCATGCTGCACATGTAAACATCATTATTCAGGAAAGGAGCTGAGAGACAGCATGGAGCTAGAGGAGAATTAACAGAAGTCTGTTAGCTTGACAGAGGGAGAAGCACAAGCAGTGAGGAGAAAAAGAAGAAAATCCAGAAGGAGAAAGTGGATACTTGACAAAGAATAAAAGAAAAACAGATACCAAACAAAATTAAAACATTGCTGTAAAGTACCAGCTGAAGGTCAGGAAAAAGGTTCATTGAAACGTGAATGGAAGTGGGGATGACAGTACCAAGTTCAGGGAATTCCTTTACCAATCTCTGCTAAGCTGGTGAATCCTGGAAAAGCAGGTGCAGTTCTCTGGATCTTCCCAAGATTTGGTGCACTGGATGACCACTGTTTGCATCCTTCCACCAGAGCTTTCAGACTGAAAACAGTAGAAGGATGTGAGAAAATGTACCATGCTCACAACTAGCTTCCATTCTTCCCTCCCCTTATATATTCTCTTTTAATTTATTTAGGGTATGCTTATATGCATCTCAACTATATAGATCTGAAGTCCTCCCACAGCAAGAAATTTTCTGACATCTTTAAAGCACTTTAAAATGAAGAAGAAAAAAAAAAAGGTCTGTTCCTCATTTGTTACACTGTGCCAGAATGGTTAATGAGGATGGGCTTGCAATGCAGTTGAGGACTGCACAGGATACTTCTTAGTTTAGCTCTCCACTTCACTGCAATTTTCCCATGGTTCAGTATTTGGGTCGGCCCTGTTTAATATCTTTATCAATGATCTGGATGAGGGGATTGAGGGCACCACCAGTCAGTTTGCAGTGACACTGAGCTGGGTGGAAATGTTGATCTGCTGGAGGGCAGGAAGCTCTGCAGAGGGATCTGGACAGGCTGCATCGATGGCAAATTGAGGCCCGCTGCATAAGGTACAATAAGTCTGTCACAACAACTCCATGCAATGTTACTAACCCCCGTCAGTGGGGATGAGTGGCTGAAAAGCTGCTTGGTGGAAAAGGATCTGGGGATGCTGGTCAACAGGCAGTTGAACATGAGCCAGCAGTGTGCCCAGGTAGCCAAGAAAGCCAAAGGCATCCTGACAGGGAAGTGATTGGTCTCCTGTACTCAGTGCCAGCGAGGGCACACCTCGAATCTTGAGTTCAGTTCTGGGGCCATTGCTAGAAGAAAAATACTGAGGAGCTGGAGCATGTTCAGAGAAGGGCAACAGAGCTGGGGAAGGGGAAGGTCACTCATATGAAGCACAACTGAGAGAGCTGGGGCTGTTTAACCTGCAGAAAAAGAAGCTGGGGGAGACCTTATCACCGTCTACAACTCCCTGAAAGGAGGGTCTCGCCAGGTGGGAGTCAGTCTCCTCACCCAAGTAACAAGTCATGGGACAAGAGAAATGGCCTCAAGTTGCAACAGGAGAGGTTTAGATTAAGTATTAGGAGAAACTTCTTCACTAAAAGGGTGCCCAGACATTGGAGTAGGCTGCCCAGGGAAGTGGTGGAATCACCATTCCTGGAAATGTTCAAAAGGTGTGTGGATGTGGCACTCGGGGAAATGGTTTACTGGTGAACAAAGTAGAGGCTAGGTTAATGGTTTGACTCAATTCTAAAGGTCTTTCTCAACCCTAAATATTCCATGAAGTTTTATTGCCTTACCCTGTGTAAAATAAGAATTCAAAAAATACTAAGAAATAGCAAGAACTATCTTTTGAGTCACTAATATTTACTGCAACTCTGCTCCCTTTAAATTAAAGTCTGCAGTCTGGCATGATCTTAGCAAGGAGTGGTTCATTGTATGTTAGCCATACTGCCCTCTCAGCAAAACTCTCGTGTTTCAGACACACTGCAAAAAGCAATATCTGTATTGAGTCTCCCTAGAAGAGACTCTGAGTACTACAGAGCATCTCAGTTTCATGAGCAACCACAGTTTGCATGCAACTCCATTCCAGCTGTCTGTGCCCAAAACAATCAGTACTTCAGACTGTACAGTAATGAACAGAAAATGGAAGAGGTCTACTCCCAGAATTCTAAGAACATGATTTGAAGTTAGAAGTGTTTTTTCCAGCTTCAGTGATCTCGCCTTCTTTTACATAATTAATTGTAAAGTGTGACATCTATTTTAATTCCTTAGAAAGCTATCCTATCCTTCATCTGTAGAACAGGTAAAGCATAGGCAGCAGTCAAAGAAGCTTCCTCCACACTGTCCTGCCAACATGTCTTGAGTATCTCAGAGAGAGAACATGTTTTAATAGATCCAGGTCTCCAGGAGGCTACAATACTGATGCACTATGCAAACATCAATTTTTCAGGCATTTCACACCTGACCACACAATAGTAAAGACAAAGATTATAATTGGCTGTCTTATTTTCCCTGCTAAAAAACACGGCAAGAGTCAAATCATCAATTTATCAGGGGGAAAACACTCAAACATTATTAAAAATTACCATGCATTCAAATCTTTTAGAAGGCCAAAACAGCCCTATGTTTAAAGCAGCGTTCCAGCAATGGTTAATTGGAGTCCTGGTATAAATAATTCACACACACACAAAGAAAAAAAAAGAAGCCACAGAACAATAACCTATAGAAACAGAGGTACAACCTGTATTTCTGCAAAAATCACTTTCAGGACTGATTCACTCAAAGTACATGTCTTTTTCAAAAGACTAAAGAGAAGACATTTGCTTGGCTTTACCAGATACTTTTTACATACTAGCATTTAAGACAACTACAGAAAGCTGAGCCTTAAAACACAGAGGAACTTCTACAGAGAGTTTTGCACAGCTAAGAAGTTTGACAGCTTACAAATACACCTAACAACGTAATACCAGACAGTGAAACATCAGTTCCTAGGCAAATTAATTGAATGCAATTTTGTAAACTGCTCTGAATCTCTAACATGTCTAGCAGAGGAAAGAAGTTTGGAAGCAGAAAGGCGTTTGCAAATGGATAGACAAATATCCTGTGAGCCAGCTCACAACCACTTTTAGAACCTAGAAATGAGCCTTCCTCCAGGCCCTCTCTTACCCCTCTTCTCCTGCACCTAGCTCCTTGTGACAAAGTGAGCTTGGTCCCCAAGTGCGTCCCTTTTTCTTCTGGCCTCTCTTCTCTTCTTCCTCTCCTTCCTCCTTTGGAAGGACTGAGCTTCGTCCCCACGTTTTACTGCTTTCAGCAGGCGTCACTTCACAAGTGGAAAGAAAGTGGAAAATGGGAAGGATCCATGGCAACATAAAGAATAAAGCACAGACCAGAACAGGAATAGTAACAAAAGTGATTTTCCCATAATTCTGACCATTTCTCAATACAAATCTAACAACCAAATGCCAAATTAAGCATTCCCTAATCCTTTCAAGTGTAGGTAGCCACTCCAGCTTTATTCCATCACCAGTTTCTCTTTAGAACCACCAGTTTGAAACCAAACACATAAGTGCTGTGATATCCAATACAGACACTATACATTAGTTAACACTACTTTCATAATTTTAGGACATGCATGTCTGCCTAATTCTGTGTTATGGGAACATTATTTGCATGAAAAGTGTCCTTGTTCTTACTTCCTTAAAACAGTAACTTAATACACTACAGCAATGTTTTACAGATCTACTCTACAAATCAGTATTTTTTTTAAACTAACTTGTACACCTAAGAAATCTATTTTTTTACAGAAACAGCAGTATTTCACAAACTTGAGTAAGCATGGTTTTAACTCCAAAGGTAGTGATACTCCCTCCATCACTAAGACACTCCATTTTTCTCTCCAAATGTATACATGCAAGGCGCAAGGCAAACATTTTAGGGGCTTTCTTTAACAGTCCTGTCCTAGATATGGAATCTTGGCATCTTACCACGCTGACAGACTGCACATTTCCCAAATTCAATATTACATTGAGCTCCTTACACTGTATGGCCCTGAGTCTGGGAATAATGGTAGGACTTGCAGGAGGGCTGGAGCAGCTACTGATCAAGCTTTTCCTTTTGTCCATTGTTGGAGAAGCCTGCACAGTGAATTTATGCTGAAAATCTGTTTAGCAAAAAAAAAAAAAAAAGGCAGAAAGACAAAGTTAAAATTCTCTTTTTTTAATGTAAGAAAAAAGAAATAATAATTTATGGTAAGTTTCAAAGAGTGCAACTTATGGGATCTATGTAGAAAAGCTGTGTGTAAGGCTAATTGCTATTTCCCCATTGAACACAACAAAAATTTAGAACAAAGATGTGTACTCACAGCCCTGAAAATGTATCTTAGCATATGTGTGAAACACATACACACACAGATGTTTTGTTTAGTGTCATGCTAAATTATATCCCTGTATAAATCCTTGTACCTTACCTCTCAGTTTCTTAAGCACCACCAAAAATAGGTGTTTGCAGACCTAAAGAAAGGCATAGGTAACAAACGCATTTTATCTTAATTTCTCTTCTAAACAGCCAGTGTTTCCCAGAAAACAAATAATATAGTGCAAGTCATCATCCCTGCTGTAACAATGAGCACTAGGTGATTTAAAAACCCCACACTTTTGGTTTTTTGACAAATTTAAATCTCCATAAAGAATCTGCAGCAGAAATGCTATCACCATCTTCACTCTTAAGAGTGACTTTGCCAACACCTTATTAATATTTAACATTTCTTCCAGAAGTTGCTTCCACGTTAATAAGAGTTCACATATGAACTAGCAATCTAGTAGTTTAGTCTCACAGCTTTCAATATGTCAGTATTTTGGTAACTTTTAGATTTCTACACCAAAAAAATCCAGTAGATTATAGTTTCTCCTGCAGCATTATGTAAAATATTCCCCAACCAATAATGCCCATCATCTTCTACGTATATCCTTTAAAAAACTGATTCTTTTGAGTATTTACATGTTAAACTGCAACACCACATTTTTACAATAAGCCATATACAGCCAACAGCTAACACACATGCTACATTTCAAATTTACTTCTGGCCTTCATATCAGAACTTTGGGCAATGCTAGCCACAAGAGCATTAGATTTAGTTTATTGATCCCAAAGAGCCATGCTTTTCCTGAAGTACATCAAATCCTTTCTAGTGCATAAGGGTCAGTAGTAAGGAACTATCAAACCTACAGGTTGCTCCCATTTCACCTGGCACAGCCTACCACATCACCAACCTGAAGGCAAGCTGATATGATTGCCATCCTTTAACTTGAGCCGACTCCTCTTGAACTTCCCCATGCGTTTCTTGACCCGAGGCTTCTCCTGACACAGCTGGTGGATGATGATGTTGAGCTCCCTTTCCAGGATGTCAATCTCACGTTCTGCCAGCTCCTGTTCCCGCCTTCGTAGCAGCTCCTCATGGTTCTTCTGTTCAACAGCAGCACGAGTCAGCTCTTCTTCCCATGTGCGCAGCTCCTGCAGGGAGATAAAGTACAAACAAAAGGCCACCTTGCCACCTGTGGCTTAAGACTAACATTACTGGTTCTGAAGGCACAGCTTCAATGGCTTGCACCCACTGGTTAAAGGCTCAGCTGAGAGCCAAAAAAAAAATCCTCAAGGGCTGCAATGCTTGCAATTCAAGGCCCCTCCTAACAAGTATTAAAATTCAGACATAACCACTTGTTCCAGTATTAAAATTCAGACATAACCACATCTGAAATCCAGTGTCAAATTCTAGGCTCTCCAGTACAAGACAGATATGGACATACTGGACAGAGTCCAGTGAAGGGCCATGAAGGTGGAGAGAGAGAGTACCTTAAGAGACTGGAGCACCTCTCCTATGAGAAAGGGCTGAGAGAGATGGGACTGTTCATCCTAGCCCAGACAAGGCTTGGGTGGGGTGAAGGGGTATCTTACCAGTGTATAAAAAAACCTGAGAGAAGGGTGAAAAAAAGATAAAGTCAGGCTCTCTTCACTGCCCAATGACAGAACAAGAGGCAACGGGCACACACTGAAACACAGGGGTCATTCTCTGAATACTTTTTTACTGCATTACTGAGCACTAGCACAGGTTACCCAGAGGGGTTGTGGAGTCTCCCTCCTTGGGGATATTCAAAAGCCATCTCGCCACAGTCCTGGCAACGGCACATACACCAAACCTTTCGATCTATCCCTTGCTGACAAAACGAATTAACTGAAACTGTCCTTGAAATCCCAAAATCCCACTGCGTTCCTCTCCTCCCACCACAAGGACAAAAGAACTCAGCACTTGGAATAATTCTCTCCAGATGGCCAATTCCAGTGCAGAAGGCAAAAACTGAAGAATTCAAGTTAAACATCAGATAGATAATCAGACAGATTTTAGTTTAGATGTTTTTAATAATGGCATTGTTACCTGGATCATCACCAGGGAGATTTCAATAAAATCATTTAATATAAAATTATTTCCCCATTACTAAAGAGGAATTCAGTACCCATCCTGAGGGCAGTGTAGTTAGTGCTGTTTAGCTGTTTGTCTATTGAAGTTTCTGGTTTTCAAAAACTGTTCCAACACAGATACGCCATGGGACAACAGTAACAAGGAAATGCCTATCAGCTAATTTATTCTTCCCAAAAGCTACTAAAATAGTGAAGAGAAAGGTTTTAAGTATTCTTGTAGAAGCTGACTTCTTTCCTCTGACCCAAAGTCTTCTTTTCCTTCTCTTTTTGCCTGCCAAACCCAACCTCTGAGCCCAAATCAAGATAGCTGCTTATTATGAGTTTACTTTCAGGCAAGAGACCGTCAACTTACAAATATATAATTATACTAGTGGTTTTGGTTCTGCTGCAGTTTTTCTTACCAACAACTAAAGACAATCTCTGTAAGGACCTTAAATTAGATGCAGCAAGCTGCGCTTTCTGCAAGCATGCTTGAAGAAAACTTCAGTTTTTTCACATCTCCTCTTTGAGGCTGATGGTCACCATTCCTGTTATTCCTGCTGGCATTTTTGTTTCCTGCTATTTGCCCAGATGGACTTCAGTCATAGCAGTTACTGGACCCTTCCCCTGGTAGCACTCATGTTTATTAGTCCATGCATTTTGGTTATGCTCAAAACCTTGAAAACACAAACCCAGCAGAAACAAAGCTGCAATGTTAACTGGAGTATATATATGTTGAAACTACCCTCCTACATCTCCTGTTAATAGTTTTCAGTGGGTTTCTCAATTAGGATGCTAATAGGGAAACAGTTATCAAATGCAATAAACAATCAACTCATCATAGCAATTTGCACAGATTATGATGGAGGCTCACTACAATATTAGAAAGAGTAGCAGCTGAGGATGTGGATATTTATTTTTCTCATGATTCTACCCTTGTGTGCATCATAACCTGCCACTGATTCAGGGACTTAATACATTAACTCCAGCAAAATACAGACAAAATTAGCTCTGGGATGCACGAAACAGTGATCCCCATTTGAACTATGAAATGAGGAAATTACAATCCAGAGAGCACAAGCAGGGAGCATTACTCTCTACTTACCTTTTCTTTGGCTCTAAGCTGATCAAACATCTCTTGGATCTCTTGTTTCCAGTCTTCCTGCAGGGAGTGGAAGGAATCTTTGGGCATTTCAAAAAAACCAGACTCTTCTATGGCAGTAAGATGGTCTAGGATAGTGGCAAAGGAAGGTCGTGAGTGTGGGTCAGGGTTCCAGCAATCTAGAACAGAATAAAGACAAACAACTGTCAAGCATCTCTAAGTATGGAGGTCTGAGAGGACAGGTAGCACTTTACTGATCCCCAGTGGCTAAGAGTGGCATACACACTACCTGTGTTACCCCAGCTTTCCCACTGCCCACTTGCACTGACTATTGACAAGTATGGAATTCATGCTTTCATGCTTGTTCAATATCCAACAACACTTCAAATCTTGAACTACCTAACAATCTAAGTCTCTAGGTTCCATTGCAATAATATGACAAGTAAAATACAAATTTAATAATTTTACAGGAGGGTACACCTTAAAGCATTTTCTAAAATAACAAATAATTTCCTTTAATATTTTGCTTTAAGATGCATATATGTGTTCACAGAGTAGAAATACTATGCAAGGATCTTGCAAATACTTCTTTTATAATAGCTACACTGCAGATTTAGCAGCCATACTGCAGGAGGATATCCATCAGGGCTTTTCCTGATGTCAAAATCTAATACTGAGCTGAGTCATTATGAATCTTTTCTCAAAATGGAAAACCTCTCCTGCAAAGCAAACTGGGCATAACTTGTGTGAAAATAGGAGATTCAAGTAAATAGTGATATCAAATGGTGCATTTGGAGTTCTCCTACTTTTACAGGTCCTTTCTTACTATTTGAGAGAAAATTATTCACTCATTTTTCTTTTGCTTTTAGGAGAAACCACAGATGTAAACAAGTCTTTTTAATTTACAATCCAATGCAATTATTCAGCCAATTACAGAGATCTAAAAACACAGAACGGAAGGTAGCCATCTCACCACATCAAGCAGCTCAATGAGCAACAGTATAAAAGGTAATGTTTTACAGCGATGGGAATTGAACACAGAAAACAGAAACAGAAAATAGTATGAAGTAACCCCTAATCCATTACAAACAATCCCCCAAACCATTACATGAAAACATTTAACAACACTTTTGAATAGGAAATTTGCACTCATTCAGTCTTCTCTCTTCCTTCTCCCTCATTTCTACTCCAGCAGAAAAAAAACCCCTTACTTATCCTCATTCTATGTTGTCCTGTACCAGCACTTACACAGGTTCTTGTTCAACAGATATCCTTATTCTCTTTAGTACTGCTAGATGCCTGCATGCAAAATTCCAGAACAACCAAACACAAAAACTCACATTCACATGTATTTATAAGGAATAAAGCTTTTCTGCATGAATGGAAGTAACTAACACATGGGTCTCTCTCATCACACAGCATTGCTCCACATGGTCACTGGACTTAAGACAAGCAAGTCTTAAGTCTCTCTGCAGGGCAAGACATGAGTTATAAAAATGTTCTAAAAGTTTTCTAGATCTTGAAATCAGAAAAAAGGGGACATTGTTAAAAATATTAGGTGATGTCCTAAAAGAAGTTCCTTCATCAGTTTTGTGGATTGAAGTACACCAAGGGGCAGCTGTAATTAAAAATAAAAATCACTTCACAAAACCTGTGCAACAGCCAAGGTTTGGTTCTGCAGTTCTTCCCTTTGATTTTAGCTTTACTGAGATTTTCCATTTGGGTGTTCTATTTTCAAAACTGTGGGTATCAACAGGTTCCATGCTGGAACACATTTGTATTTATGGTTTTTAATTTGCTTCTTTTATCAAAATAGAGAACGGAGGATGTTAAAGAGGGCTCAGATGATCCCCTGCTGCTGGCCAATTAGTAGCAGTGGGTGTTACAGCGGGACTGTCAGTGCCATAATCCCTGTCTCTTTACCTCGGGTTTTAAGCATGGCAAAGCAAACATGACCCAAAGTAAAACAAAATGCTACAGCCAGCTAAATGCATGAATGAGTGAACAGGATAACCAGCAGGTGGCCTGTGGCTTTTATTTTCCCAGCCCTAGATCAGCCACTATTTGCACTAATGAGGAGAGCTGTAACATCTAACTTTTCTGTGAAGAGCGAAAGTTCAGCTTTGTTGTCTCAGTGAAGACCACCATGGCAGTAATTCAAAAGTGAAAGCAGCATTAGAGGAAGAAGAGCTCACCCGAGATGGGAAACAGCCTGTTTGAAACACAGCTTTGGTGCAGGGGCAGAAAGTAATTGGGTTCTTTTGTTCTCGTCTTCAACCTGCACAAGGAGAAGCCAAGTGCTCCAAAGCATGGGTGGGTGCTCCCCCTGGGCTGCTGGGTTCAGGCACTGGCCAAATGCCTCTACCTAACTTTCCCAATAGAGGGCATGATTTTTAAATCCTCACTTTTAGTTAAAAAAAACCAGGAAAGCATGTCAAAATAAACTACGTGGCAAAACACTGAGCTGGTAGTTTCACCAACTCTTTCAGACACAGTTTCTCACTTTACACTACCTTCAAGCTATTCTACCTGTAACTCTATTGTTTACTGTCCAGTAGGATATTTCTGTTTTAGCAGAACATACATGAAATTTTTCACTTTAAATTAAATTAACTGTAGCCTGTAACCTAAAGAAAACACCAGAAAAATGCAAAAGTATTCCAAAAGCAGAAAAAAATCCATCAGAAACATTTTCTTCAAGATTCATATTCCTTTCCTGAGGCTAGAAGCACCACCAGAGGCCACAGAGAGTAAGTTCTATGTTGAGATTCATTCTTTGCTCACCAAGACTATAAACCAAGTTTGATTTCTCTTTATCTCTGTTTTCCATTCTGCCAGATAGGTATAAAAATGTTTATTACTTATAAACACCTACAAATCTTTGGGAATAGGGGCACTGACAAAAATACTGAAGGTAAGGAAGAGAGAGAGGGCAAGAGAGAGGGAGGGAGGAAGCTCAGGACACATGAAAGCAGTTTCAATGGCCAGCAGACCAGGTCACATAAATACACCCAAAAATTACCTCACACAACCCTTTTTAATAACTACAGCAGCTCTGATGACTAACTCCTGTATTTCTTTCACCTCTCTGTAGCCCACCTTGGGCATGAACTACCTTCTCAGACAAAGCAGAAAATCACATCATTGTGACTGAAAATATGGGTTGTTTTGGAATGTCAAAGCCACATTTAAAACCTCTCCCTGAAATGTCACTAGGATAAAGTTTCATTTCAAATCAATCTGACACTATTAGCAAGATGCTTGAGCTATGAATTTTAAAACAAATTAGACTTCACACAAGATCTAATTATGTGAAGTTTTGGTGTTGGTGAGTCCTCACTACTAGAAAACAAGTTAAGAGAACAGCAATAGCCCCCCTTTTCCTATAAAGCCAGTTGATAAAAAATGTTTCATTATTCTGGTAGTAGATTGACTTACAGGCAGGCCTGGCTCCCACAATAACCTGCACCACTGGATAAAGCCACTGGAGAAATCTGTGCTCTTAGGTAACAAAGCCAACACCAAGAGGCCATGCTCAACAGCACTCCAGAAACAGCACAAACCACACACACCACAGCTGGCTTACCTTCCATGAGTTTGGCAAAAGGCTCAGGACATGTGGAAGGGATTGGAAGGGCAAGCTTATTCATAGCAACACCATATGCTACTGCCAGACCATCAATTCCTCGGAATGGTACTTCTCCTGTCAGCAGCTCCCAAAGCAGCACACCATAACTATTGGGAAGGAAACAAAAGAGAGAATAGGTGTTTGACTTGAACACAGCCCTTGTTAAGCAACAAGGTACCTGAACCTGGGAGTTTAGTATACTGAAAAAATTGCAGTTTGCAGGACAAGCTTATCATCAATGCCAAGCTGGTGATCTGCCCTATTCTACCTGCTTTTTCTAGTAGCTCTGAAATAAGATGACATTTTCACCTTTTAGGCAAAAATAATTTTCTCTCTGAAACTGGGAACAATCTGAAAACCATAGATTTTCTAATTTAGTTTCAAAACAGAGCCTCTCAAAACACCCAAAAATATGAAGGTTGTTTGGTGGCTGGTGATTTCTAAAAATAAGTGAAAAAATACTTCTTCAGAATTAAGTTGTCATCTTAAGATATTCTACAAAATACTACCTATGAAGTTACAGAAATAGTTCCAGGACTGCTCTCCCTCAAAGTATATGATGAAAAGTATAATCTCAAAATATTTTTTCTGATTCTAGGAAACTCAAAACAGAAACTGCTTCTTCATCCTTGATGACCTGACAGTTTTTTCTTCCATTGATCTCTTACTCTCTTCTGAACCCATTTACCATCTATTATATTCTGTGGTAGTGAACTCCACAGATTTAACGATGCATTGCCAAAAAATACTTCCGTGTATGTGTTTTGAGCTCGTCACTTGGTAATTTCATCGGCTTCCCTGTAGTTCTTTCAAATACAAGAAAGAGTAAACCTATGTTCCCTATTAGCTCCTTCCATGCTGTCCATGATTTCACAGGCTCCCAATCATCCTGCGTAAATCATCATCTTTCCAGACCCCCAAATTCTAATCTAGCTAAATCCTAGTCTAGTTACTATCCTGAACAGAAACCATCTGATATCTTCCATTGATTTTAACATCTTCTGTTGGAATGAGCAAAATCACGTAGTTTTAAAGATATGGGGAGAGGCACAAACAGCATTGCTTGTTTTCTTTCTTTCCTACTAAATTTTCATTTGCCAGTTGCCTTTCTCACTCTCTACAAAATAAGCTAAATTATCCATAGTAGCTCCAACGTGTTTTTACTGAATCACAATAGTAAAATTTAGAGCCCCTAAATTGTACATATTAAATTCCCCCATGGGTATTACTTTGAATTTATTACCATTACCATCTATTTTATCATTCATTATAGTAAAACTTTTCCTCATCTCTCTGCAGAACATTAATTTTTCTTATCCTGAATAACTTGGTATCATCAACCATGCTACGTAACCATGTATTGTTTTTTCAAATCACTTATGATTGTGTTGAACACAGAATTGCCCACCAATAAAACTCATTAATTCTTTTAGTAATTAAGTACTGATTAAATGAAGGGAAAAATACTCGCCCTCTTTTCCCACATCAATTTAATTTATTTAAAAGCTTATGATGCAGGATTTTGCTTAAAGTCTTTATAAATCCAAATACAGTATAAGCAACCTCACCACTTAGCCACATATTCAGTATCTCCTTCAAGCATTTTCACTTTTCACAAGGTATTACATTTTCTTCTACAAAAGCTAACTCTTCCCCAGACATGCTCACATGTCCACCAGCTCCCTGCTCTTTAGTGCTGTTTCTACCATTGAGAAGCATTCAAGATCATACTTGCTAATTGTCAGGAAGCTCTTTTAAGACCTGTCACTGTGTCTGCTACCTTCCATTTCTCTGGTACTACACCAGCTCTAAGCAAGAGATTGCACAGCACAGCTACTAACTCAGCTGACTCTCATGTTCTTGTAGAAATTTTGGGTGTTACTGTAAATCTCAGGAGTTGTTACTACTCATTTAACCAGTCAGTTTTAACACCTCTGTGAATTTTACTTCAGTAAAAGATATGTGCTCCAAGTTTGACTCCCTTAAAGAGAAATTTTCAGCTTCAAATGCCTCTGCTCTATTCTAGCAGACACAAGTCACTGAGGTTTTTGTCTGGTACAGCCTTATCTTCCTTGCACTCCCACATTTTGCCCACCTCTGGGCTGTTATGTTCTCCTGCAGGGTTCTCACCTGTGCTGCATTTGAAAGCAAGGGATTTGGTTTTATGCTGTAAGAAAATTCTCTTCAAAACCCTTTTATCTTTGTTTTATGTTCAACTTGAAAGAGCTCAAGTCAATGCATAATTTTCCTCATTTGGATACAGATTGAGATTTTAAAAAGATGTCTTTCAGTAGTCTTTTCTACACTGTCTTCTTCATTCTTTTGAAGGATTTCCCATACATTCACTCAGAGCTTTAACAGTGTCCTGAAAAGACATCCACGTTGCATGTTCTGCTTTTGTTGATTTTACAAAAAATTCCCACTGCTGTCAACAATCTTGAGATTAACCACTACTGTAATGGACTAATTTTTCTTAATTGCGCTTGCAAAGATCCAAAATCTAAACACAGATAGATTTGGACCACGTCATACTATACCACTTTGAAGGCCTCTTAAGCACAACTGAAGACCAAATGAAAAACTGCTTCTCTTCCAACAAGCTCCTTAAATAGCTGCTCCATGGAAGAGTTAAAATATGAATATAATATAAAGTTAAAATATTAAGCTTTTCTTGTTTCAAAGCAACAGTTTCCCTATCCATTTGGGAGTACAAATGGATATCACAAACTGTACCCTTGAGATCTCCCTTCCACCCCATCACATCTTTAACATTCACTGTAACTGCTGCTACCTTAGTTGGACATTTTTAACAGTACTTTTCCTATTCAGATAAAGGATTTTAGTAACTAAAGATCCAACCTTCACTGCTAACACGGCTATTTTACTTTATTAAGAAGAATATATTTTTTGACCTACACGATCTTTTGCTTTTTTCTTATGCAATTCACACTCTTGATATTATAGTTTATCATTTCTTACTGTCTCAAGAGCATTATTTGAAAAAAATAAACTAGAGTCTAAGGAGTTCTCAATTTCTTCTTGGCCTTCTAGGATTTATAAAACACTCAAAGAAAATGAAAACTGAACTGAATGTATATTTGAACTGCCTAAATCTGATTGCTCATTTATGCTACTTTTCAGCTTGGATATCACCATTGATAGTAAAAGCTAGTAAAATCTACCAAAGAGCTGTATTATTACTTTAACATTACTATTGGATAAAGCACTACTGATGGGCTCAAAGCACTTCTTCTGCAGGGTACTTTTAAAGGAAAAAGGAATAGACAGATTAGTGCTTCTTCTAATGTGACACTAAAAGTGTATACTGCAGGAAAGGTCACTTTGCTTCTGACAAAACTCAACGCCACTATACTTACACCTCATTGCTGAGAATACTGCTCGCACAGAACAGGGGAATACTGCTTTGTGGCACTTGAACAATAATCCCAAGTGAATAAACACCAAGACAGGTGCTGAACAGTGTTTTCCTATTAACTCTAAAGCAGAAAATTGGGAAGTACAAAGGAAAAAGCCAGATCAGAAGACTTACTCAAAAAAAGGCATAGAAAGAAAGAAACAAGGGCCTCTACACATTCTTAGTGGGGGGAAAGAAAAAGTGATCAAGCTCATTTACTTTTCCAGCACCTATTAGTAATTTTTGGACTTTAATTATGAAATGAACCATGTGACACAAACCCATGCATCCAAGTCAACTGACACTTGTGTGAATAATTAACCATCTTTCAGTGATCCAGTAATCCCTTAAGCCATTTAACATCAGGTTCAATCCTACTCACTGGATTTTCAGGGCAAGGGAGGCTGGAGGTCTGCAGGATTTCACATGTGATTTTGCCACCTTCCTTGTTAGTCTGTGAACTTTTAAAAAATAAGTAATTGCTTCTCACTGGTACTGTTACATGGCATACATACCATAGGCTTCTCTTATCTATTTCCCCAGGTTCAACACTTTCCATGAGGAAGGAATTATCAACCCAACAAAGAGATCCCAGTTCCAACAGCAACTAGAACATGACTTTTATTAAGGAAAAAAACCCCCAAACTTCATTACATTTTTATAGCTATTACCAGCTGGCATTTTGCATGTTAATGAGCTGACAGTTCCAGAGATGACCTTTCCTGCCTATTTCACAACACTCATGTGCTTTCACAGTACTCATGTGCTTCTCCCAGGTGAGTTTCTCCTAACATTGCTAGTCAGCATTTGTCTGCCAGGTATTGAAGTCTTGACAGCGCTTCATTATGCACAGAAAACTACAGAAGCCTACAAGTGGTCAATTGTGGATGGAAATGTTTGACCAACGCTCGCATAAAACAAAATATTCTAATGACTGGAGTTTCTACACCCAGCACTGAATGCCTGAAACTTCCTGATCTGCTAATCTGATGGTTTTAGCGAGAGCTGGTATTCCATTCCTAAATGGAAATTAAATGCCCAATTATTTCACTGGTCTCAGAGTAGATACAGCTTAAAAACATCTAAATTGAGGAACATAGAGAACCCAGATGATGGTTGTATGGTGCCTTTATATTCCACACAGCAATAGTACTGACATTATGACTGTCTTTTAAGTAGTACAAGTAAAAAACAAAGTGTACAGCAAACAAGAAATGTATTTAACCAGCCAAATGACAGAAAAATGTTATTGATAGGCCTGCTAACATTAGCAGACAGTACTGGATGAGCTGCAATATCCAAGCTTCAACTTTAACCCTGTAAATCCAAAGCAAATACAAACACATAACAGATTTACAGGAAGGGACTTATTTAACTAAAACTGTAGTTTCACTGTCCTCTGTACAATATAAGCACAAGGCTTCTACTATATCTAGAGCCTGTGGGTACAGCACAGAAAAATTCACAGCAACGAGTTTTCACTAGCAAGATTTACTAAGTACTGGTACTATGAACAAGCTTCACAGTGGTCCAGACCCTGGTGATAAATACCATGTGTGGTCATTCCTCACTCCTTTTTAGTTCTTTGCCAGCCCTACTCCAGAGTAAACAGATGGAGCTTTTAAAATGGAGCTTGAAATATGTTTTGGAAAGATGAAGCAGTCAGTTATGATAAGACTGGCTCAGGAAATTTCAGTCCTAGCATGATTCTTCTTCAGCTGTTTGTGCAGCAAGAACACAAGGAGAACAAGATTCTTGTTCAAAGGCTGGGCAACAGTTCAACCAGCAGTATTACTCTAATAAGCTTTAAAGAAAAGGTGTTGAAATAAAAGGGTTCATGAACATTAGAGACAATTCTGTTGATGCTGCATAGACTAACTGGAAGGCTGTCAGGCAAAAAAACCCTATGACTCCAGTGATTAACCAAGTGGTTGAACTGGACAAGAGGAGGAGCAAGTCTAATAGGATAAAAAAGTTCATCCTGTTAAGAATTTCAGGTTGCATCCTTGGCTGGGGACAGGAATTATTACACAAGTCCATGACCGCTTTTGTAAAATCTAGGGCTTACAATCACTGGCAGACTAGTAGTGATTGCACTGGCAAGCACTTGTCCTCTGCATACATGTTCTTTTCAGCTTGTTTAACTATGAATAGAGGTTTTAGCCACTAGAAAGAAAAAGAAAAAACTTATTCAGAGACAGTATATAAGTTCCCTTAATGGTGATGACTCTCTGTTTAAAGGAGAGTTTTGTGAGGAACTCAACCTATTTTCAAGGGAAGACTGGTAACTATAACAAGAGAAAGTGATGAAGGAATCTTAAAAGTAGAAATAAAATATTCTGAAAAATGAACAAATCCTTTCAGTTATTTACAGTCCTTAAGTCAATGATCATTTGCATGGGCATAGAGGCACTTCATGAAAATCACCAGCCAACTAAATAATTCTTAACATTTTTAAAATGAATTCATACTGGTACAGAACATCTACCGATCTGTTCATAGCATGCCTGTATTACTAAAGTTACAATTACAGGAAAACTGTTCCCTCTTTCTCTTAGGTTACCCTTAAAGGCCCTTCCTGGCACTGTTTCAGAGAACAGTAAGTTTAGGTTTGAGGTTGACAAGCTGTGTACAAACCAGTACCAACATCACATGCACAGAAAAGGTGCACAGCCTTAAGATTTTCATTTCTGCCAGACTTCACTCCAAATAAAAGCCTGGTTCTTGCTCAATCTGTCTCAGATTAGCTACGGAGGCTACCACATTTAATTACACAGTCAGAATTTTATCCATACTAACAGAGTGCAAAATACATGTTCACAGACTTACCACAAGGCAATAAATTATCTATTCAGCAAAACTGGACAAGGAAAACAAAAATCCCCACACCAAATTGCTGCCATAAGAGCCAGACATGTCTACCAGCTGGGCTATTTCTTTATCCTGATGGGTTTCACAGCATGTACTCACTTGTGGAGGAGCATTACTGGCCAGCAACAGAATTTTACTACTATGAAGACAAAGATTCTGACATTTCAACACCTTTTTCTCCACAAGAAAACCAAAATTCTCTCTATTTTATCTGTTTCAGATGTTCAGTACTAATTCTGAGTCATTCAGTATCCAGAAAAGTCACTGTCCTGGAGCTATTTACTGAATTCTGTATTTACAAATCCACTTAACAGTGGTATTCAAACTCAGTTTCTGGAAGTATATGGGCCAACCCTTACACCTCCCCACCATATTAGCTCACTCATGAAAACTCCAGTGCATGAATGAACAAGACAACATATACAAGCAGGTTACTATTTATGGATTACATACTCAGATGGACCCAGATAAGAGATCTATTATCCTATGTGAAATACTAGAAGCATGAAGATAATTAAACTACTATGAAAACAAAAAACATAGTATTGGGATTGAAACAGGATGGGGAATTCAATTAACTACAGTGTGTTTGTATACACATACATTAGAGAAAGATTACGACCAAAACAAAATAGTTCAAAATTACCTTGCATGTAAAACAGAATAAAAATTAAGTACTTCTCAGATTGTATTATGGCCTTTGATTATGTCAGTCAATAGCCAAATAAGCCCAAAATGTTTTGTTAAGATAAAGCAGAGGGGATTTGGATTATGAATCTCAAAATAATGTGAACGAGAACTTATAGAACAACAGAAATTTAGAGGCATGCAGTAGCCGGTCCACCACTTATTTTCTACAGTAACAATAAGTCTGAGATAAGTCTGACAGATGGAAAGCTGGTGGATAAAGTTTTCTTAAGACCTGAGTTTTAATATTTGGTTCACCATTACTCATTCTTATATATAAAAGAGACTTCCTGGCAGGTCCAGTTACTCTTCTGTATCCAATCACTTAATGCCAAATCAATACCTCCAAACATCGCTGCCTTTGGAGAACATGGAAGAGCGGATGACCTCAGGAGCCATCCAGGCATATGTCCCAGCTGCGCTCATTTTGGTAGTTTTATGCCATTCCCTGGCCAGGCCGAAATCCGTGATCTTCAACATCTTGTTGCTCAGATCTCCATTTTCCACCTTTTCGAGTATCAGTACTGGAGAAAAGAGGGGGGGTTGGGAATAAAACGTATGCAGAGTAAAGCTAGTATTTATGCAAAAAAATATTTTCCTGGAGCTCCCCCAAATTTCAAGATTTTCCCTGGCTTTTTGTTATTCAAACATACCATACCCTATTATGGGTTATTTCAGGCTGATTCCTTCATCTGACAAATGAACAGTTCTCTAGCAAATAACTTCAAATTTTACCAAAGTGCTAAGTCCCAGAGAAGAAATATGTAATAACATAATTATTTAATATAGTGCCTAGTGTCATTCTGTATAATGCTCTACTAAGAGGAAGTGAACCACTGTAACTTCTAGAAATCCAGATAAGGGAAGACATTTCCTAATTAATCCTCTCTCAGCAAGCCAGTAATAGCATCATTTTCTTGAACTGCTTAGAGGACTTTTTTTTGTAAATCCAGATACACACACATAGGCTGGATATATCCTTCATGTAAATGTGTTACGAGTAGAAGCTCTATGCACAATATTTTTTTTAAGTTACTATTGAATAAATTAATTTTGATCAGCAATAGCATGCCCAATTCCAGAAGACATATAGACCCCCACAGACTCCCTCCCCCATCATTATTAAACAACTTTTTTCTGCCCTTTTTGGGGCAAAGGAGTCCACAGACAAGAACTTTAAAAACGCCTTGAGGCAGAACTCAAGAATGCTGTGATATAAGACACATTCCTCTGGAGCTGGAAAGTTGAGCTGTTACACCACTGAGTTTAAACCAGAGCCCACAAGTACCCACCCTACTTTAGCAGCATCTCATTATCCTCTTTCTTTATCTTAGTGCAAAGTGACCACACGAGCCACTCCAGCAATGCAACATAAAGCAACAGAACATGAGGGCACTAAACTTCCATAACTAATGGAACCATAAGGCCCTGAACAGTTCTTAAGCCACTTTGTAAAGCACCAAAGAAAGAAATATTTGTATTGGTATTATTCCAAAGACTTCACATCAAAAATCACCAAGCCAGTTACACACCATCACTACACAGCTACTTTGTTTTTCATGTCATTACAGACACTATAGACAGAGGTTCTTAGAAAACATGAGGATTTTTTTTTCTTTTTGTATGGATGCATCAATTGCAAAAAAACCCAACCAAAAAAATCCCAACCAAACAAAAGAAACCCCATAACCTCCATAGTCAATCTATCATGAAAAGACCCAAGTGTCAGCCTCAAGCTAATACAGCTTTCTTTTTTTGGGGAAGGCAAAATCATTCCTTCCAATAATTAAAATGGGGATTGCCACCAAATAAAACCCAAAAGTGTTATCTGAACCCTTCTACAGTATAAGTAACACACATTTAAAATGCTAAAATACTGCTTTTATTTCAATAATACAATTCACAAAATAGTACTTCAAAGATTTTTGTGGGACAACTCAAGGTGTAAAGAAATCAGACCTACAGTTGAGCTCCTGGTTCTTCCTTCTTTTGCAAGATTTCTGACATGACCGAATGCTCCTTTTTCCTAATCACAGAGAAGAAACTGAGGCCTAGAGTTACTGTTCTTTTCATGGTGACAAAACCATATGCATCTTTAGAGCAATACTTCAGTGCACAACAGAACCACCACAAGAAACCAAGGTAGAGAAGGTGCCTTCCTTTGGGCTTCTTATTCAAATTAAGTCTAACTTTTTTACTTCTTTCTAGCAGATGAAGAAGTGCTAAAAGAAATTGCTAGCAAGTCACTCATTGACTGCAAAGTGAAAAGCTTCCTAGAATGTACATAGTGTTTCTTTTTCTAGCTTGTACCCGTTCTGCCTAAAGAACTGGCAGAATAACAAAATGTAATTTTAAATTTAAATGCAGTAATTTAGAGATGTACAGTGATATTGTAAAGTTAAAGTAAAACTCTGAGACAAGAAAGTATGGGTTAAGGGGGTTTGGGGATTTTTTTGCTTCCCTCCATAATCACCATGAGGAACAAACGAATTTATTGTTCACAGATAATATTCTGTTCGAATGAGGTCAACAGCAGGACAGAGCACCATATATCAGAACTGATACATACTTTGTACATACCTTCCTGGTAAGAGGTTATTTAAATCTAATTACCTTGATTTGTATTAAGTTCTAACAAAATAATTAGTACTTCCATAGTTCTTTTGTATCCAGAACTTGTTCTTTTGTCAGAGGCAGGGTAGTAAGAAAAATTACCATGACAAAAGACCACAGAGAAGGACAACAAAAGAGACAGATTTACTGCAAGTCTGATTCCTTAGTTACATCCTTGGCTCCTTTCCTATTTCCTTGTAATAACTGCTTGGAATAGCAATCTTGAAATCCAAATTTTTAAAAATTAATTTTAAGAATGGCATTTGTTTCAGTTCTCTTTATTGTATTAGTCAGTATCAAAAGGCTCACTTGCCAGAAGTTCCCCTTGCCCATCTGTCAGACTTTCAAACCAAAAGCCTTGACTCTTCCCTCTTGTTTTTGCCTGAATTTCAATGAAAAACTTGTAAATAGGTGAAATTTTAATTTGTTTCAGTCTCCTCCTTATTAAAAAAAAGACATTTACGCAGAACACACAGGAGGTTGCTAGGACACTGCATATGCATTCTGCTTATGCTAATCAACATGGTCTCATCTACTTCTGAATTTTACCTACAATCAGTTATTACTCCTTGTTTAATACTCTCAGTGCAAGTCCCCTTCTGCAAGTACTACTTCTGCACTTGTATTAGTCCATGACAAAACAAACAAGATACATGAAACACAAACAAGCAATGTGCTCTCTACAGTTACAGAATTAATGTACTTTCCTAATGTAACAGATTTGATTGCTCAGGACTGAAATAACAGCGGACAGATTATTAACATCTGGCATAACTGCATTGAGTTTTCATGGCCAGGTTTTAGTAGTGGGATGGGTGGAAGATGCTAGAAGCTTTCCCCATGTCCAGCACAGCCAATCCCTGGTAGCTCCAAGATGGATGTGCCACTAGCCAAGGGTGAGCCAACTGGAAGTGACAGTAACGCCTTTGTGACAAGATACTTCAGAAAAAGAATAAAAAGTTAGTTATTGGGCAGGTGTAATTGCATCAAGAGAAAAGTGGAGAGAGAATACGTGAGAAGAACGAATCTAGAGACACCAATGTCAGTGCAGAAGGAAGGGGAGGTGGTTCTCTAGACACCAGAGCTAAGCTTTCTCTGCAGTCCATGGAGACCCACATGGATGTGGAGATCCACCCGTTCCACATGGAGGAGACCCACATCAGAGTAGGTGGATGCCTGAGGAGGCTGTGACCCTGTGGGGGCTCATACTGGAACAGGCACCTGGCAGGGACCTGCAGATCTGGGGAAAGGTTTCCTGCCAAGATTTGTGACTGCATGGAGGACCCATGTTGGAGCAGGCTGTGCCTGAAGGACTGTACCCTGTGAGGGAAGAGTGCAGGAAGAGTAACCCATGTTGCAGCAGTTTGTGGAGTTGTTGCCTGTAGGATAGTTCTCCATGGACTTCTCCAGCATGAGTCTATTTCCTGTGGGAGGGACCCCACACCAGAGCAGTACAAGGACGCCTCCCACTGAGCACCAGCAGGAACAATGTGTGATGAATTGGGCATAACCCCCATTCCCTGTTTCCCTATGCTGATGGGGAGAGGAAATACAGCTGGGAAGGAGGGAAGGTTTGGGGTTTTTTTAAGGTCTTCTTTCACTTCTCATTATCCAGCTCTGAGTTTTTTTACTAAGAAATTCAATTCATATTTGTCATTTGAGTCTGTTTTTGCCCATAATGGTATTTGATGAGTGATCTCTCCTGGTTCTTATCACAACTCATGAACCCTTTGTTATATTTTCTCTCCCCTGTGCAGTTGCAGAGGGAGTGACAGAGGGGCTTTGATGGATGCCTGGAATCCAGCAAGCATCAACCTACTACACTACCAAAACAAGTTCAGGCACAGATATAGACCACTTACACGAAAACACAGCTAATACACCAAGGAAGTAAATCTCAATCTTGCCTACTGATTTTAAAGATCAGCAAGTGATGCAGAGGTTTAAAATAGGTAGAAAATTTAATAGAAAATCTTTCATGTTCCCAGCCTTCAAGAGAGAGACTGGCAGCAAAGACGCTGGACCCAGTCTGCAAGCAACCAGGGAAGAACGAGATCCAAACCAGCAGGAACACGAAGAAAGTGTATCAGCTTGTTAGGGGTGGATCAGCCTTTTCCTTCTTTCAGCAAGGCCCATGCAAGAAATCTCTTCCTGTGTGCAGGCATAGAGCCAGCTGAATTGTAGATGAAGGTCTGCTATGTACCACTGCTCCTCTTTTTCCTCTGTGGCACAGGCTAAAAGCTGATCTTAAGTAGCGTGGTAGGAGCCCACCAGCAGTGTACAAGGGGGACTGGGGAAGCAAATCAGGTATTAGAAGCACATTCAGACAGCTTGCACCATCCAGATGCTGCAGCAAAACAACTTAATATATGTTCTTTGCTTACTGTGCAAGTACAAAGAAAAGCATGGTGGCCTGAAGTACCATTAAGATGGTTAGCAACCTTCAGTGACGTGCACCATGTGTGTTTCTTACAGGAGTAATAATCCATTAATGCTCACATACGTTTTCATACAGTCCTGAAAGACTTGGAAGCTGTCCTCAGGACAATAAGCATTAGACAATGAGAAGTTAATTACAGCTCACAGAAATTCTGTTCAGCAAGATAGCTCTTAAATATCGCCATGTGTCCCAGTGTAGAATGAGTATGACCAAATTTGCCTTAGCATCTCTTCACAAAACCTTCCTGAGATCAGGCAGTCATGCAGATACAGATACATGATTTAGCTGTATCATTTCAACCACTAAGAGTGTACCAAGAACTTTATTACCACATGGACTTTCAAGAGTCATTACTGACCCTTGATCTGAGTCCACTGAGAACCAGCCTTGATCTGACTCCTTGAGAGCCAGGCAGACTGCAAGTGCTGAAAGATAACAGCCAATCAAAGCACATTAGAGAGTTGAGACAGA